AATATGGCCTTGCGCCTCCTATTCTCTCTAAAACAGACCAGGGCTTCTGTCTTACTTTTGAGTGATCCAAACGTTGAACAAACTCCCCCCTTCTCACATCCGGTAGTTAGGCTCTCTAAATGCGATTTGGCCTTTGAACTTGTCTCATTGCTGCAAGCGGTTGGGCACGGAAATATGGCCCCCGTATTACAAGTGGCTTTACCCTATGTCTCAGGGGCGGAGTTATAGAGTCGGACCAGAAAGTACACCTCTCCCCCAGTGATACATGTGGCCTCGCGCTAAGTTTGGGGAGACTTCTATTCTTGTGTTGTAGCCTGGGTCCTAGCCCTAAACTTCCTAATCCTAGTAATATACATGATTCCAATCCTCCACCATGTGCAATACAGGGGCTCCGTATTTCCGTACTCAGGCCTATAATCTTGCCTGTATTGCGGGTGGAACACTTAGCTTCCTGTTGTGTCCTTTTTTGTAATTCGGCCGCTACTTTGATCTGGTTCCTGAAATTATCAGACTCGACAATGTGCCCTCCAAGCAGATTTCGCGGAACCTACCACGGTGTGGGACAAATAACACAATTTATATTTGACTATAAGTTATAATTTCTTTAGTAACACTTAATGAATATCACCGAAGTGACATAGACACACACAGCGATGCGTTTAAATAATTATTTTTCAAGATAAATGACACCAAATTAATGAGACTCTGTTTCCTGGAATAAATTTGAACAAGACAAAGGCAAAGAAACGTACAGAATTTGATTATATCATAAAATTTCGTGGCCTCTTGTTCAACTGCACACAAAATTTTGTGTCATCACTAAATATGCATGTCTTTTTGTCCCGGCCAACCACAAAATTAATGGAAAAGCACGAAGGCTATCACGACCGACCAAAAGTATCTCCAAGACGAGGACGTTCAAAAACTCAGACTGGCATGCTTTTACTTATGTTTTCTGTTTGGTATTCGTTAATCTACTTGACAAAAAGAAATATAGACGACCGGATGCTTCGCTCCGAATGCTTAAGATCTTCTAAAAGACAGAGTACATCTGTGAAAATGCAGTCATATCCATTAACGTGAGAAGTCGTCAAAGCGCCTCGAAGGCGTTGTTTTGTTGTTTGAGTGGGGGCTTTACTCTTTTTTAATGACCTATGGGCGTAGAGGCTTGAGAGAGATCGGTTGTATTCAGTCTGCTCATAGTTCTAAATGCCTACATGACAGCACAGAGTTCTCTTAAGTTGGCTGCAAACGGCAATGCGGATAGCAAAATCTCAATTGTCCTTCGAACAACTTGACCGTCCTTTTGGACACCAAACGGTAACTAATCTTTTGAATTTGCAAAGCACGGACTTTTTTCTCTCTAGTAGGAATTACTTCTATAATATGTAATGCACATTTTCAGTAGGAGACTAGACCTATGGACACTCACTGAGAAAATGAAATGTGCTTCCAATTATATATTATTAATTAAACGTCGTTACTGTGCTCGTTATTATTCAACGTGATCTCAAGATTTCGGTCTTTATGTGACCAATGGTGAAAACGCCATTGACTTAAGACGCTCGTTGAAGTAGCATGAACCTGTCGTTCGATTTTAGACCCTCACCGATCAGGTTTCGGAAGATGCTCGTTCCGTCGTGCCTTGGGACTCAGTACTATGATCCATGTTCCGTTACCTGATCGGTGAGCGTCCATCTCTCATAATTGATATTCCTGATCACAACCTACAGGACAGCAGGCCCGTAGCTCAGTCACAGATTGGCAAACTCCATGACCAAAGGTCCCGGGTTCCAGTCTCAAGTGATCTACACTTGGTGTTGGGTAGGACTGGTTGATGACGACTAATAAGCCAGAAATGGCCATTCCGGTCTCCCTCGTCTTTGTCGGTGCTGTCTCATGTACTTATAAATCCACAAAAGAACTTAATGAAAGAGCGCATAAAACTCTCCTCTTTAGGCATGTTTTTCCTACATGGAGCCACGCGGCAGAGGCGTTGAACGGACATGGGGCTCTGATGAGGGTACAATACGCATTATCCGCCCTGCACACCCATTGCAATTGCCACATATATGGGTGTGGCGGCCCGCCTAGGCGCGTGCTTACGCCGCGCCGGTTGACCCGAGAGATTCCATCCCCGTAGCACTCCATGTATATTCCCTGCTATAGGTAATTTGGTGAGCTTTTAAACTATCACGGTGCGTGGTCTGAAATGCTGCCATCTGACGGGGTGACTCGGTCGTCTTCTGAAAACGAAGAGTCGGGCTGAAATGGCGCCGTCTCAGCGTGTCACTCTAGTGGGATTCGAGTCGCTTTCTCTTCCTAGTTATGTGGAAACCTGGTGCGCGGACTAGGCGTGTGCGACACGCGTAGCCATCGCGCGTATCCTGCCTCCGGTCACGACACTGGAATCAGGGCGGGAAGGGGGTTAGGGCGGTTCGAATGCGTTCGATGGTTAGCAAGTCTTCTATCATTATAAACCAGTCAACACTCTAGTCCTCTTCCCTGAACCCATCACGCTGTGGGACACACTGTCAGTATCGCCATTCGTGACGATAGAAACATCATGTATCATGCTACTTAACCCCCAACTTTTTCGCTCGAATAAGGATTATCTGACAGTTTTAGAAGCCTTCATCAAGGCCCGATAGATTTTAGACTATGCGTGCCTCTGAACTTGTGTTAAGAGTATTCAAGCTGGACGTCGTTCATTTTGTGTTTGAGACGATCCATGTATGCCTTTCTGCCGTTAGGGAACTGCTAGCTGGAGTTCTTAAGGCTTTGTAATAAATACAGTGCCTAACCGATCTCGTGAAATGTTGGTCGAAATTCCGAAATGCGTTTTCGACTACGAAGAACTAATAAGGTAGTGTCGTAAGATTAATTATTAGGCAGCATAATCCTACAGTATTTCAGACTTGGCAGGATATCAGCTTTTGAAAGCACATCTTTGTGACCTCCGACAGAACCCGTACTTGGTAAAAAATGACTACTTATGTAGCATGCATTTCTCATATTGATGTTCGATGGTCTTATAAACTCAAATATTTTTTAATAGAAATTATGCACAAAAGTATGCTGTCCTCTGCTTATTTGGTATAAAATCACATCGGCTTCGCATTTTCTACCCGAAAAAGTGCATATTTAGGTTTTGAAAAAGTTTTCCAATTTCCTAATCATTTTTGAGCCTGATCAGCCGTTGCATTGGCTTTTAGCGACTTCGGTCTACAAGGGGCATCTGTTCCACGTAGGGAAAATCAGATATTCCTCTGTGCCTTTAAGAAGACACTGTATGAAGTTTATAAAATTTTGCCATGGATACGGGTTATGTTGTACATTTCACGAGTAACACTAGTAAAGGGACACGTGCGGAGCTGTATATATAGACATTGCAGGGTCTTAAGACCTCATACTCAGAATTTTTTCAAAACTGAAAGATAACCTTGCTTAGGGTATAAAATATAAAGTAAATATAAAGTAAGCATATTTTGTGCATGATTTCTATAAAAATATTTGAATTTATAAGACCATCGAAAATCAATGTGAAAAAATACATGCTACATAAGTAATCATCTTTTCCTGAGTGCGGTTTCTATGGAGGTCAGAAGGATGTGCGTACAAACGCTGATATCCTTCCAAGTCCGAAATACCATAGGATTGTGCTACATGATAATTAATATTACAACATCACCTTATTAATCCTTCCTAGTCAAAAACGCATTTCGGAATTCCGGTCAACATTTCATGAGATCGATCACGCATTGTATGAATCACGCAGTAGACTTCAATAACGGTATTTTTTAGCGAGTCTTCTCGTCTAAACACATCCCATCCATAACATTTTTGATGACCTGCATTTTCAGATCAAAGGATGTCAATTTTTCAAATGCTAGATTAAAGATGTCGTGCATTCAAGGAAAAGGAGTTTGAAGGAAACTTTTGTGCATACTTTCTATGGACTATTTTTTTATTCCAAAAGACACCGAAAATATGCGAGGCAATTTTGGCTATCTAAGTATTCGCTTTGCAACGGGTATGTACGTTTTGTTCCGATAATTGGCTAGACTCGCATTCAGAATTTAGCATCCTAGGACAGATCGTATATCATTGAATGACGTCGCATACTAGTGAACATTGTAGCCGCACATGAGCTATCCTCCTTAATGAAAGTCATGAAATGTAGTTTGGTCGCTACTTTACGAATATGTTCTCGAACAGTGCCCGCTATTTGTGATTCAAGTGATTCCATTTCCATTATTTGCATCTGTTTGGTTCAACTTTCAGACCAGAAAGTAATCACTTGGAATAAGACCGAAGGTTGCTTTTAAGAGATAATATGGGCAGGAATTCGCGCTTTGAGCTCCCAAAATTACCATGGTCCCCAACGTAGTAAGATCCCAATTAATTGCACAGTCTCACCGGGACCCTGTTTCAGAGGACGTGAGCACTCTACTCGAGAAGTAGGCTAATAGAAGACCAGTGTATTAAAGTGATGAAGCGCGCATTCGCTATTGCAGTGAGTTCTGAATTCGACTAGTCTGCCTCGGATCTGACACCTGTGGACTAAGAACTGCCGTTGCAAACGTTCACCACTTCTGACGATACTACTGCTACTACGAATATTTGTACTACTGCTACTACTGCCATTAGTACTATTGATGCTGCTGCTTCTACGCCTGAAAATACTGTGACTGATATGTCTGCGAATTTCCCCTCCTCCCCCCCCCCCTACCGCTGCTACTGCTGCTACCACTAATTCCACTAACACCACCATTATTACTACTATTTACACTAATACCGCTGTTTCGACTAATGGCGCAATTGCTACTATTATGACTGCTCCCGCTGGGAATACCCCCAGCACAACTATTCTGTCGCTGTTAATTATACTGCCACCACTACTATTAAAGCTGTTAGTAGTAGCACCATTATTATTACTATTAATACTGCTGCGTTCGCATCAGAGCACTTCGTTTTTCGCCTGTCACTAGCTCTGAAGGATGGACAAAGTGAGGGGGCCCTCTCAGTACAACCAGTTCGCCCAAAAGCCAGCGACGACGAATGCCCAGTACGGTTACCTTGTCCAGCAGGAGATTGAACAGAAGAAGTTGATGAAGAAGGCTGCTGACCTGGGATGCATTGACGAGCAGAAAAAGTCCCAGGAGACGGTTTACTGCAAACCCTGGCATAAATCCAACGAGGTGGTAACCACGGGTCGACGGGTGGACTACTTTATCGCTCCCAAACTGAAGAGTGGCTACAACAAGCCCTACGTCCCACAGTGTAATCAGAGGAAACCCTGACTTTTTCGCCGCTTTTATTTTTTAAGTTTCAAGGCCTGACTTGAATCAGTAAATTTCTTCATTTTAAATCCACTATTTTGCTGTTTCTGGGGGGACGAAACGTCCCACCTTTTGCGAAGCCGGTGTGATCATGTGGTTCGAGGTTGCCTGAAAGGTGTGATTAGCATATAAACGGCGTTGTTAAAATGGACGGTAAGCATCCTTTATTTGGTAGTTCGACCTTTAGACCAAAAATCCACCCGACGCGCTGTTGATTTCGTTTTTCTGCCTACCTCTGGGCGCAGGTCAGTGACCTCCCAGTTGATATTGCTGCCAAAATCTAGAGTTATGACGTCTGATGACGCGTTTTCCTTTGTTTGTGAAAAAGATAAAATTTGGTCTACCGCACTGCACTGAGAAATGTGCGAGGTTCTTTTATTTGCGTCCCCTCCCGGACCTGGTCTTCGTCATATGAGCTTCCTTTACTTGACGATTAATAGATTAAAGCTACCTGTTTTCAAAGATCTAGACTCAGGGAATATCTCCAAGCATGTACAAGCACTGTCATACAGCCTTTTCAGATGCTCTAATATGTGTGCGATTGGTGAATAGCGTACGGTAAGCTAGAACTCGTCGTTCTAATCTGCGAGTTCTTTGGTACATATTTTCTAATTACAGATTTCCGCAGCCGTGTTGACGCTTTCGAGGTAAATTTTCCTGAATTTCCTGAAAAAAAGGCACTTCATACTGCCATTAAGAGGGAGGTTTGGTCGCCACCTTTATCTATTTAGGCTGTTTCCGATGCCATGAACTATGCTTGATGAGCGCAGAACTGAACATCGCTTCAATTTTCTCAGCTGACTTTAGTATGTTTCCTCGGTCTTCCTGAAGTCGGACTACGGTAGATTAGCAAATGATGGCAGTAGTCTCTATCTCACTTCCCTTTGCCTTCTTAGCACACTTTTATGTCGTCCCTTCGGCTTTCATAACAGAGCGACTTAGGTACAAGTAAATTCGCAAAATAAACCTAGGGACAATTAACCCCCAAGGTCGAAGTGAACCAAACTCCGTCTCATGAAAATGCCGCCGAACATTTTCGAAATTGCTAGGCTACTGAGGACTGGCTTGATGAGTACTTGTTGAAATTTACTATCAAATGAATGCCTTATGTCTCAGTTCTCATGCTGTAATCCAAACTAATGAACGTTGGATGATCCGCGGAAAGTAATTCGGGGGTCGCGTCACCAGACCGACGATAAATAAATACAATCTACTTATTGATGTTAGTACAAACTTTTGTTGCTAAACATTTTAGCGTGGGTTCTGACGTGAAGGGATAAATAAACTGATTGAGGCGAGATATGTTGACGCCGAGGAATTGCGCGACAAGTTTCCTGCTGAGCCCAGTCACTATGTAATACAAACACCGACCTGAGTCAGCACATGGAAGTGTAAACCGCCCCCGATAAGCAACAGGTTTAAAATTAGGCCTGCATTTAAAATGACGCGGTCGTGTCTACATGAAAAGCAATGTGCGCGGGACGAAAAAGAAATGGTGTTTAGAGCGCACAAGACAGCGAATTCTTGTAGAAGTTTTAGGTCCAGGGAGCGCTATGAAAATGTCCCGTCGCATGGTACAGTTGTCAGTACGAGTCACAGTAGCACCCATGTTAGAGCGCCTCATTTAATTGCTTCTCAACGTCAATCAGTCTCTCAGTAAGTTTGGGATAATAAAAGATGTTTAGGAGCTAGTGCACATGCTTGGTTCAAATAAACTTGGTCGTACTATCAAACGTCCTCTCCTGCCCCTCCTGTCGAGTTCCTGTCTTCTCTTTTCAATTCTCGCCTTTTCCAGGATCCTGATCATTGGCGAAGGAAACCGTGCAAGCCTGGTAGTATACGTACTTAGTCATGTTTGCTGGTATTTTTGAGGTTTTGTTTGCCTTATCAACACTATAATGTTACTGCCAGCAAGAACTGTCATACTTTCGGTCCGGAAGCTGTTACGAATGTCTGAGTTAGAACCCATCAACCTCGCACAAATAAAAGTTTGATGTTCACATGCTCCCCAACAATCAGTCAGTAATAGATAAATACCGGTTTTGTGCAGTACTCACAGCCTATATCTGGGCTCATACCCGCCATCCTTCCTGGCAGTATGGCAAACAAATCTTAATAGAGTGTTGTCTTGTTTACCAGAGTTCTCGCCAAAATAAAAAAAATCGAATTATCATTCCTCTGCGAAGGCGTAAACTTGCGGCTGGCGAATTAAGTAGTTGCTAACGGTTGTGAATGCTCCCTCTGGTGAATCCGGATCTTTCCCCCTCGTAAATGAACATTACGCTGTTTTGTGTGGAGCTGCCTGAAACAGTCTTCGGGTATCTCGTTTCAGCGAGAAGGGACCGTTAGCCGTGAAAAATAGCTTTTTGCCCTACCGTGGGGGCCTCTTTGACTTTAAATCCAGTTTGCTTATAAGCATGTCTGGTAGGTCCCAGGCCAAATCCTATGGGACAGGTGTGGATTGTGACTAAATTTACGTTTGCAGCTAGCGGCAGTGTTTCAATTTCGATTTGGGAATAGTGTTAGGCTTATGGAGAGGGCAGTGAAGGTTTGGGATTTTCAGAAGAGAAAGTGGCGAGTGAACGTTCCTTTCGGTAAATTCTCATCAGGCCAATACAGTTACATAGGGCGGGGTACAGTGAGTGAAACAAAAATCGATAAAAGTTAGGTTTTAAATTACAGGCTCGGCAAGAGCGGAAGGGCGCCGAAAGTTGTATGTGGTTAGTCAACCTTTGACCACGGTAAGCGCGGAGCCTGAACAAGGTTCTTTTGGGCGCATAGGGTCGGTTTTCGTAACCTTATGGCGGCCGCTTCTGCTGTTGCTAACAGGCGCTGGCCCAGTAGCTTAGGGTAGCTCGAGGTTAGTTCTAGTGCTAAGGTTGTGATCTAGGTTGTGTCTATGATTAAAATTAACCCTGTCACCAAGTACTTAAACTTTACGCTAAACCTGCCATTTAACCCTCACCATAACCGGAACCCTCAACTGAGCCCTCAGCGAAGTTACCAAATAGTCGGAACAAGTTTGTCAGGTGGGTCCTAGGGACGCATCCCATCTGAAGCATATCCACTGGAACGTTTCGTTTTATGCATAGAAAGTTGCTTTC